AACTAATACTACACTTTTACATACACCTTGCAAAATCTGTAAAATATTTTTTTTATTTTATTTTATATTATTTAAATATTAAAATAGTATTTAAATAGTATTTTGATTTACATATTTGTACAACCTATATTTATATATTGCACATGACATCATAACTAAAATTGCACACTCTTTTATCCTTTTCAAAGTTTTACATATTATTGCTTATTAATAAATTTAGTGTTGCGTCCTCAAACATCATTGATGGTTTTCTGCTTTTTGTGATAGTGTTTAAATCTCTCAATAGCATCATTGAGAATCCTGTCAGAATCCAGAGCAAGTAAAGCGATGTGCACTATGTACAATTTAAGTAACACATTTTATTGCATACTGTTTCAACCATACCCAGGGGCGCAACTGCACATTTGCTGAGGGGTATGCAAGATCAGTGTTGGCGCCCCCCTGTATTCTAGCCCCTAACGCTAACTCCCACAGAAAACTTTCTGCAAGTCAATGACCAAAAGACCATTAACTAGCTTGGGCATGGAAGGATACAGACTCATCAAGGGTGAAAAAAGTGACAAAGGTTCGAACCCCCTCCGCCATTTTCAATATAGGGGGAAAAAAAGAAAAATTAAAAGTGTGTTGTGTAACATCCCATTTAACTCCTGATGGCTTTTTTCCATTTTTACTTATAGAGATAATTCATGGAAAATTTGCCATGCTTAAGTGGAAGATTTCTGCCACCTGGTAGAAATACAAAAACTATTGAAATGAATGTCATGATATTCCCACTATGACCACTAGATGTCAGCAGAGGATAATTTACCATTTCCACACCGTAATATAGCTCTTTTCACATGTTTTGATTTTGGATTTATATTTAGACATTATAAAATCACTACTATTAAATTTAAAAATCACTTCATGTCAAAGATCAGCATTGTTTTATACTAAGTATGAAGTAGCAAGAGTTAAAAAAAAACTCATTGGATCTACTTGAATCACAAATGGCCTATTTTTAATTCAAAACGGCATTTTTTTAAATATCCTTGTTAATAATCTTCTCAGTTCCTTTCAAATGTAAATCAAATGCCAATTCACAAACATCGTGACTTTTAAATTTTTTGAGAGCTACTCAGAAATGAAATTATATTAACGTTAATCACTTTGCCCTCTTAGGCAATAACGTTAAATGTTGAATGACTTTATAGAGTAAGCTTACCAATTTCTGTTAGTTCACTTGGATATTGCTGTCCTTATTTTAATGCATTGTTCTTTTTCCCCTTTGTCTTTTCTGTTCTGCGCCCCAGAGCGTTTCTGCACCAGTAATGTGTCGAAGGGTGAGCAGTTGATATGTATTCAGTTTATTAAACATTTCGAACTAATTAAAAATACTAAAAACCGTTAAATAAAAATGTTTCATTAAAATATTTTTAACAACTAAGCTTTTTATTATTTTCTACATTTTATCACGGAATGATTTCGGCAAAATGGCGCCCCCCCTCTGTTCAGTGCCCCTATATGCACCGCATATACTGCATACCCCGTTTTTGCTCCACTGTCCATACCTAGTAGTCCATATACACCAAAAAATTGGTGATGAAACAATTTTTACTAATCAATTGCTAGTAAATTTCACAAATAATTACAAAGACAAGTAACATGTTAAATTAAACATGAAATGAAGTAGAAAGACTGAAAGACTGTAAAACATATTCCAATAATCTTTGTTTTATTTACAACTACAAAAAAAATCAGTTACAACCAAAACTACTATCTATAGGGAGCAGTAATTTACAGCTATATATTTTTGATCATAATAGAGCCAGCCGTTATTTGGGGGATAAAATGAAAAAAATATATATTTTCTATTCTATTCTATTCTATTTTTAAACCTAGTTTGAAAAAGTCCAAATAAGCTTCCTTTATGATGCCAATAAACTTTAGGGGATAAACGGTGTAACGAATCAGCTCATGGGAAATATGAATAATTAATCATAACTAGTTATAATTAATTATTCATATTTTAGATCCGCTGTAGATATTTAGCTGACCTCTCAGGGTCAACTGTCTTGTCAATTCTAAAGCATGCCTAAAATAGTCTAAAAATATCAAAGACAACATACACCATGACCTGAAGGATACAGTGTTCATTCAAAGAAAGGTTTTCCTATTAATTAATTAGTAGAAAAGTCCATTTCTACTGTGCATTTGCCTCTTGCTTATGGGACATGCAGTGAGAGTCTCTGCTCACATTCCTTTAGATCGTAAATGTATCTGGTGTCAGTGTTGCTATGGAACCAGGGGCCTGTTCGGCTTCCTGGGGTGTTACAGAGTATTTGTTAAATCTAGCTAACAAAATATATATTGTGTGTTTGAGTGGTCCAGACGCTACAACGGTAATGAACTGTAAAGTATGTTTTTATGATAGCACTATAGGATCAAGATCTGCACTGCTATTCAACAAACAAACATCAAGCCAAAACACATTCACAGTTTCACACAGACCACAAGCAATTATCCACCACTCCTTAAGCACATTACCCTCTAGGGATCCATCAGCACACACCCAGTATGCAGAGAAAAGTACTGAGTCTAGTTACTGAGACATTTGCGTTGGGGGGAAAAATGAGGCGAGAAGCAAATCTGTTCGCACATTGGTTATGTATCTTTTGACCAAATATTGATTAAAGGAATTGTTCACCCAAAACTGAAAATTAACTGTACTCACCCTCAGACCATCTAAGATGTAGATGAGGTTTTTTTGCTCATCAGAACAGATTTGGAGAAATTAGGCATTCATCATTCATTTGCTCACCAATGCATCCTCTGCAGTGAATGGGTGCCGTCAGAATGAGAGTCCAAACAGCTAAAGCATCGCAATAATCCACAAGTAATCCACATAACGCAAAAAGCAAATCTCATGAAGGAAAAATTGCTGTTAATTTACTCACCCTCAGGCCATCCAAGATGACTTTTTAGGTTACTTTTTTTTCTTCAGTAGAACAGGAAAGAAGATTTTTAGCTGAAACCGTTGTCCTTGGTGATTCATACACTGCATGTCTGTGGCTGCTGGTTTTTGAAAGTAAAAAAAAAACATATACAGGCATGACCAAATTAATACCCGTGGCTCCTGACAATACATTGAGGTCTTGCGAAGCAAAACGATTGGTCTGTGCAAGAAACTGAATTTTATTTATAACATTTTTAGC